ATTATCAAATATCATTGACATCTGTGCCTTCAATTGCTTCTTGCAGTTTTCCTCCCTAGGTTCTTTGGATGAGAAATGGATGACGGAGTTTGCCTCTTCAATGTCAGCTGGAGTTACAGACGATAAAAAACCTCTGGGCATTGGGGAGCCAATGATAGTATGGCCCAATGTAGAAGATGTTAGATGTTCTTTGGAGGTAATATTGAACAAGTCCTCTTTAGACTAATAGTGGCATCACTAACCTGCTATGGATGTCAAACATAAGGATAATCCGCAGCCTATTGGTGGCATTGACTTAAGACCATACTTTAATAAATCATTTTTATTCAGTTGACATTTGTAATAGATGAGATTGAAAATCCTCACAAGTTACATTGAAATTTATAGTGGTCTCATTCACTTGCTATTATAGATGCTTGCTAATCTTCATAAGTGAAATCTGACGACTCCTTTGATTTACTGAATGAATTTTACTGCATCTTGCTTCATTTTCTAGGGATATGCAGCTGGAAGTGCCATTCCCAGCCCATCAAAGAACGTGGAGAAAGAATTTCTGAAGAAATATTGGGCTAAATGGAAAGCTAGCCACACTGGTCGTTGGTATAGTAGCCTTATAAAGTTTTGAATTTCCGAAATATTAATTTCATTGCAATATTATCGAATCCTTTGAATTGTGCATTTCTCTCTCAAATTCCTAAATCTATGAATGATGCATCACTTAAGGCCTTTACCTCTAGAGTTTTTCGATTGGAGCACTGTGGACTATTACTGAAGTAAGCACTTATGTATCAGAAATTCAGAATCATAGAAATCAGGCATAGTCATGTTAACTAGTTGTATACTTGAATTATCACACGAGCTCTCTTCTTTTTCTTTTAATGGCCTTCCTAAGATTTGGGCTTGCCAAATGTGAAGAAATTGATTGCCCAAAACCATATAAGGAGCAAAACAAGCCATCCCTTCACTAATGTGGCAATTTGCTACACTAACCCCCCCCCCCTCCCCAGGCCTGCCAACTGGAACGTGGACAACGTAACATGGGGGTGCAAGATGGGGACATAAAATAACAAGTAACTTCTTTTAAAATATTTCGGAATAGAGAAAGTGAAAGAACTTTCTCAAAAAAAGAAAAATTTTTAGAAGGAAAAAAAAAGAAGGTTACAGAACTTCTAGACGAGAATATTTCTAAGAGTTGGGACTCAAATCCTTGGTTCTAAGTTAAGAAATGGATATGGGACCTAGCTCAACCCCAAAAACTAGCTCATGAGGTGGGATTGCCCAAAACTATACAGGGAGACAAAATAGGGAGCAAATTGGTGACAGTGGAGAAGAGTGCTTATACTTTTGTGTGTTTCTCTTGTGGTGGCAATAAAGGCAGTCACAGTAGCGCTAACCTTTCATAAACTTGTCTCTAGTGGCAATGGAAGACTGTGTAACTAGCGTTCTCTCTGGTGGGGGTTTCTAGTGGTTAGAGTCAAAGTTTATGCATGCTGTTGCCTGATCAAAAAATGCTAATGCATACAGTTGCTACTTTTATCCTTGTTTGGCTGTATGTGTTGCTGAATAAATTGCTAAGTGACTGTTATAAACTCATAAAATATTTCTTGTACAATGATGTGGTAACTATTCCATGTTCTGAGTGGCATAACTATGTACAAAGGAGGATCATTGTGAAGCTGATGTACGATCACTGCTTCTTGTGAAAATGCAGATGTACTTGCATACTTGCATGCATAAAATTCAAAAGATCTGTTTTTATCTATTCCCACTACAAAGTGCATTAAAAGAAATATATTCAATATGTAGTTCTAGTGAAGCTCTAATGTGTCTGCATAAAAATTGTTCAATTCTGACCCATTGGAACAGACAATTTTGTCAAAGGCGTGCTAAACTAATGAAGCGCGGCTCAGAACATGTAGAGCGCTTTGCGTCGCTTAGCGGGTGCTTCAGTGTTGTGGTCAAGGCTCTAAGACGTGCATCAGTGTTGTGGTCAAGGCTCTAAGACATACTTTTCCTTGCCGAAGAGCATGTGAACAATTAATATTTCACTTTATTTTGTTTTCTTTTTTCAGTTTCTCTATCCTTTTTTTTTTGTTATTCATGCTTACAATGATTTGTCTCGGATTACACATACATATTTGTTTTTTTCCCTCCATTTGTGCCTTTCTTCATCAAAGCTCATGCTATATTTGCGCTGTGCGCTTAAAGATCCTTTCTGCCTTTGATAACTCCTGAGACCAAAGAAAGAATTTTCTTCATTTCTGACTTGATGACAGAAATTTCAGTCTGAAATTTGCATGAGCTTTGCTGATATACACTGATCAATTTTTACTGCTGATGAATCTAGTTGCAAATCAGATTTCCTTCTTTTTTAGCTCCTATTTTCATTGATTTTCTTGAGAAAGGACACTTACCTTTTGTTCTTCAAATCTTCAGCCGTGCAATGCCTCATATTAAGACGTTTCTACGTTACAACGGTCAATCGTTAGCGTAAGACTTCCGAGACTCTGTTCTTTGTTTTTCTTAAGATTTGATTCCCACTAATGTTGGATGATTGTTTTTGTTAATATTTGTTCTATTTCTCTGGTAAAACAGGTGGTTCTTGCTTACGTCATCAAACCTCAGCAAAGCTGCCTGGGGCGCACTTCAGAAAAATAATTCTCAGTTGATGATTCGTTCCTATGAGGTATTTTTGTTCCTCTCTGGAGACTAGAAGCATCCACGAACCAAACTGACATAGAGACTAAGAAACATGGTGAAAAGATCCAAATTTGCACCTAAACTATCAACTATTCCTACTTCCGCCTCACGTTACACTTCACCAACAGAAATACACTTGCCAGTTACACTTCGCCAACAAAAAGACGCTTGCTATTATGATTTGAGACAAGTTTTTTCCCTTTTTAAATAACAGGAAACAGCCCTCCGCATGTCTATTTTAACCACTCCTGCTATAGACCACTGCCACGTATGCAGACACGTAGAATAACCCACCTTTAAACATTTCCCAAGAGCTGAATCAATCTTTTACCTGCATTAGTTTTCCTAGATTAACATTGATATCTTCTTAGAAGAGACAAAAACACTTGAGTGATTTCTACCCATCTGTCTTATCCTCGCCTCGATGGACAAAATTACTTGGTACCTATTGTTGGTGGGAGGTGACATGTATCCAGTAGAATAATTGGAGGTGCGCGCAAGCTGGTCTAGACACCATTGTTGTAAAAAAAAAAAGAGGATTAACATTGATATCTTGTTTCTCCTTTAAATTTCATCTCGACTTAACTTCTAAAATGACATTGTGATTGTAACTTATTTCTGTCCTTGGCAGCTAGGGGTGCTATTTTTGCCGTCTTCTGTTAAACGTGGCTGTGGATTTTCTTGTACAAATAATGGTTATCCATCAGAGGTACAACAATCATCTAGGTTTTTTTTTTTGGTTATGTTTATGCTTTATTAACTTGATATATATCATCTGGTTTTTAATTCTTTGGATTTACAGGACGAAACTAGCATACACGAAGGGAAAAAAATAAAGCTGGTAACTCTAGCTTGGCAGGGAAAGGGAAATGATGATTCTTCTGAAGTAATCAAGTTACCAGTGGCTTATGAGCTTCCTCCAAAACCGTATTCCCTTGAAGGTCTTAACTCTATAACAAAATCTCATTACAACAGTGGTGTTTTCTTTCGAACCAATTATATTATATGTTCTGTATAAACAACATTTCGTTACAGCTTCAAACGATGTTGTTATTAAGAGGTTTGACTGTTAACTGCTCTCTGAATAACATCAAGCTCAATGCATTTTATCGTTGAATGCAGATATTCCTTGGTCCTGGGATCGTCGATATACCAAGAAAGACATATATGGACAAGTTTGGCCCAGATAAGTAAAGCTATACACCAACCAGGGCTCCTGATGTTTCAAATGATGGGATCGATGTGCTAGGTGAAACGTTAATAAATGATTGACACTAGCTAGATTAGAGTTCTTGATTCTGTATATATGTAGGCATGAATCTTTAGAATGTTGGTAACCATTTATGAGCTGGTTTTTCCATATAAATTGATGATTTTTTTCATCAGTTGGCTCTAATTGGAGTTCTTGTTTCTGTGTATATTCATAGGCATATGAATCTTTAGAATGTTGATACCATTTATGAACTGTTCTTTTACATAGAAATTGATAGATTTTTTCATCAGTTGGCACTACATTTATCCTTTGCTTCTGTATACTTTCTTAGCAATGTATAATGTTGAGTGGTTCAGTACGAAGGAAAATGTTTTTCATAAAAAATATTTATATATAATCCAGAATAATATTATGGGAGGTGGAGTTGTGGCCAAGGGCAGATCTAGCGTATGCCGAGGGGTTCACTCGAATTACGTTGTATATTTAAGGTATTTTTATATTTATATAAAGATCTTGAACCTCCTGAATATAAGATGAGAGATTGACTTAATGGTTTAGGGGTTCAAAGTTCAATCCAGTACGCTATTTTTTTCCGAACTCCCTTAATGAAAATCATGGAACCGCAGGGACGTCCCTACGAAGGTTGGAGGTGAAGATGAAGGGACGTCCCTACGAAGGTTGGAGGTGAAGATGAAGGATGTTGGAGGGTGGGTAGGACATGATAAAGACACAGTACATAAACGTGTCATTTAATTTTGGTGTTAATTGATATACAAATAGATACTTAAATTTATATAAAGTTGATACATATATCTTACATGACGATTCACGTGAGATATACCATCCTACATGGTGACTGATTTGTATTATAAATTAATGGACATGTTTATGTATTATATTGAATTTATACCGTTGCCTGGTATAACTTGTGACTGAGGTAAATTTTATTAATTCGACAATACTTATGTGGTGACATTATTTTTCTAAAAAAAAAACGGTTCTTGCGCGATGTGAATCTTAATTATACGGTAATTAAATTTTAGGTTGGCCACCATGTTCGGGTCCTAATAAACATGAATATCTGGTAATAACTGAAAGATAATTTTGGCACCTGAAATTCCAACAAAAGTCCAAATGTGTGGATCAATACAAAAGTTGATTTTTTTTTCTTTTTTCTATATAAACATTTTCTCTCTATATATATACTCACGTTTCATTTTTTTCCCCCTACATTTTCATACAATTTACAAAAATTATAAATTAAAAATTCTCAAGATTTCCAGTTTCATCTCTTCACCACCCACCCCTATCTCTGTTTCTTGTTTTGGTTAGGTAAATTTTTCTCTATTTCCAACTTTTTAAAATTAAGATTGTGTTTTTTCTTTAATGTTATGAGAGTGAATTCAGATTAGTCGTCAGATATCAAAAAAAATATTCTTTTATTTTTCAATCAAGATTATGTTTTTTCCTTCTTTTTTTCATCTGTTCTTTAATTGTATGGGTCCTATGTGGCACGAATTCAGATTAGTTCGGGAACAATATAGGTAAAGGACACAAAATGAGAGCCAAAAAAAAAATGCTCTTTAATTTTTCAATCAAGATTGTGTTTTTTCAGCTATTCTTTAATGTTATGTAACCTATGCGCCACGAAATTGGATTAGTCAATCTGGATACCGGACATTGGACGGGAATTTAAAAAAAAAATTGAGAAAGAAAAACTATTTTTTAATGTAATACTTTAAGAGCATTATTAACAAACTCAGTTTAGTTCTTTTTATTTGTGATCATTTTTATTTTTTTGTTTCATGCAGACCCTGAATTGCTATTTTGGTTATTGTATAGACTTTTTTCTTTTTAAATCTTTCACTCTTAGTGTTTGATACCTGCATTGGAATCTGACTAACCGTACTTGGACATTGTGGGGTCCATTTATGAGAGCGCTTCCAACAAGATTCTTTTTTTCATTTCCAGGACTAGAATATGAGAACTCTTGTAGTCGAATTGCATGCTTTTGTTCCTTAAGGTTAAATGTGCTTAATTAGAATGAGCAATGAGCAATGAAATCGATGAACTAAACAGGCAATCATCAAATAACTGAACCTTTTCTGTCTTTTTTTTCGCGTTAATATTAGTCTGTTATTCTGTTTGTATATCCATGAGTTTGCAAGTGAAATTACATTCATTTGTTTTCCGTTTCAGCTGGAATTTTGCATTCAAGGTTTGTTCGTCGTGCTTCTGAAAGCTAGGTTCATGTCTGAGCTCGATATCCAAGTCCCTACCACCTTTGGTACGTTGTATCTTTTCTTCGTTATCAGTGGCTTTCGTAGACAACAGTTGTTGCTCATTGCTTCTGCAGCTATGTTGTACTCCCTCTGTTTCAATCTGTTTTTCTGGTTTTGATTTGATCGTAGTAAAAAAAGGAGACTTTTGAATCTTGTGAATGTAAAACATACGTCCTTAAATCTTGTTATCTTTAACATGTCATATGAAAAAGTTGGGAAAGAGTGAAACAGACTAAAAAAAAAGCAAAAGTAAAGACAGACAAATTGATTGTAATATGTTGCTGATGTAATTTAGTTGTGCTAGTCTATACAATCCTCCCTTTCTCCAATATTCTAAGACGAAAACCGTTTATTTCTCTGTTTTAGACTAATTACTGATTGCAATAACAACACTGTCTTTGTGGCTTGTATGGTGTGGACAGATCCGTTCGCTGATGCAAATGCTCAGAACTCAGGCGCTGGTGCGAAGGAGTATGTGCATATCCGCGTTCAGCAGAGAAATGGAAGGAAAAGTCTGACCACCGTTCAAGGCCTGAAGAAAGAATTCAGCTACAACAAGATTCTCAAGGACCTCAAGAAAGAGTTCTGTTGCAATGGTACCGTTGTGCAAGATCCAGAACTCGGACAGGTGAATACCTTATTCGATTCTATCTTTCTCCTCATTGGAACAAAGGACTTATGGTAGACGTCATTCTTTTTTCACATAAATGAATGCTATTCTTTCGTCTCTGAGCTACTGAGGAACAAAGAAGTTTAGTGTAAGGCAACTATCGTTCTTTGGACAAACCTATGACCAAATATAAACGAGTTCTTCACTTGACCAAAGAGCCTCAGAGGCGAAACCAGGATTTCAGGATTTGAACTTTATGAGTATAAGTTTAGGATTCTAACACAACTTGTACTTATTAAGTGAATTTCTTAACACATACACACGCGCCCTTGGATGAACGATTTCTAGCTTGTTTGTTCTCTACTGATTGTTTTCATTTCACGCAGGTTATCCAGCTTCAGGGCGATCAGCGGAAGAACGTGTCAACCTTTCTCATACAGGTTTAATTCACATCCTCTACCTGTTCCTCGAAATCCAATATACATAATCTAAAAAATGTACGTTGATTTCGCGTATTTTTTGTGATTTTTAGGCTGGCATTGTGAAGAAGGATAACATCAAGATTCATGGTTTCTAAACACAATCAAAGAGAGGGGATTGATGCACATTTTGTGATTGCAACATTCACTGTTTGTTTACATTACATCAAGCGCGCTACGAGCAACGTTTTTCTTCAATATATATATGGCAGAAGCTTGGTATACTAGTAGCTTGTTGATGATCAGTATATATCAAAAGTTGTATGGTGAATCCCCAATGGAGATGGAGAATCAGCCCAAAAGTTTACAAGATCATTATATTCTATTTTGGATGAACATTATAGTATTTGTCATTTTGTATATAGTTTACTTATACGATCAATATACATTTGCTTATTTCATGAGCTTCTTGTTGGTGCTTAATGTATTAACTATTTCGTCCGTTTCAATTTGTTTGGTTGGTTGTGACTTGGTTGTGCCGTGCAGACTCTTCACTTCTGATGTTGTAGTCATGTTGGTGTTTGCAAAAAAGTTGGAGAATCTGACACACATTTGTTGATATTTTTGAAGAGTTTGAGCAACATAAGATATAGAGTTCAAGAGAATAATGAAGGTTGTTTTTAATCTTATGATCTTAAAATATGTCAGGTGGAAAACTAAAATTAAGAAACTGTCATAAAAAGAAAGGGACATTCTTTTTGAAACCTAACACACCTAAATTTGTTGGAATGACGAGCAAGAAAAGAAGAAAAGGAAGGAACATAAATCGTAATTTAAAAAACGACTTTTGAAACTTGTGAGGTAAACTAGGGTGTGTCTGATGGGGAGGAAAATATTTGCTAACTTTTTCAATGTTTGATTAATCAAAATATAGACATCATATCATAAAGGAAAAAAAGCATAGATTCCCCCTTAAACTTGTATCGAAAAGTCAATTACACGCTTAAACTATTATGGCAACCTATTACACACCTCTGCTATTTAAAAGTGAATTTATTTACCCTTTAAAGCTGACATGAAAAAATAATAATAATTAAAAAAATTATGTGCATCAAATGAGACAAAAGTAAAAAACCACCCCACATCTCTTCTTCTTCATTCCCCACAATCCTCATCTTTTTCACACCTCGTTAAACTTAAAATAAACAAATAACAAAAAAAACAAATTACTTCAAAATGGAGTAAAATTTTGAGAGGTTTCAATTGTTGGAGTAAAATTTTGGGTGATAGATTGAAAATGAGAAGAAAATTAATTTTCTACAATCTTGATTTTTTAAGAAACCTCCATGAAAAACATGGAAAAAGAACAAAGAATATTTGTCCAGATCTGAAAAAATATTTACAATAACAAACTGCAACAAACAACAATGGAAGCTCATTTTTCATGACCAATCAATGGAAGAAATTGAATTAACCTTCTTGTGGGTACATTTTGGAGTAGAAGAACGCTTCAACTCCATGATTAAACTCCAGATTTTGGGTAATTTTGTTGATAACAATTGCTAAAAGTTTTTTCTTTACCATTTTGCCATGAAGAAGACATAATTATTAGAGAATTTTAATAATTGACTAAAAATTAATTAGTGTAGAATTAATTAATAAAATAAATAATAAGTAACAAAGAAAAGAAAGTAAAAAAAATAATACAATTTCTTATATGGCACTGACGTAGTGCTAATGTGGCACCGAGTGTAATACACAACATACGCTGAGAGTGGTATTGCACATATCAAGATGGTATTAAATTTACTTTGAAGTAATTAAGGTGAGTAATTATGACAGTTAAAGTGTATAATTGACTTTTCAGTGCTAATTTAGGAAGAAATTCATGTCTTTTCTCTGTTATAAATAAATTATATTTAGATAATAAAAATGTTGAACGTCAATCTATTATCTATCAAATTTCGAATTAATTTTTTACTTATTTCCAAATAAAGAAACCTAACAACCCCTTAATCTCCTTCATCACCTACCATTCAACAGTCAGCGCCTTCTTCTCCTAAATAAATGTGCTGTTTTACTTAATTATTTTAAGTAGGGTTGGAGTTGGACTATAGTTTATGGATTCAACTAAATTCAATAACTTTATTGTAAAAAAATAAAAAGAATTACATAATACGAAAAAAAAACACGAATGCGATAAGTTTTAAATATGACTATACGTAGTCTGACATGTTTTTTTAATTTCCCACCAGGGTGTACGATACAATTAGATACAATTTGTGTATTGCAAGACTCATTTTCAAAGGGGTTTGCTCCTATACGTAGCCTAAACTTATTATTTAAAGTTGAGTATAGCTATATAAATAAATGGTACTCTCATTCTCTAGTAGTTTTAGTTTTTTTTCCCCAATTTTTTATATGGCAGATTCTTCAGAAAAAAATTCTTCCTCTGATTATTTTTGTGCTGATTTTAAAGGTATTTATTTACTTCTAATTCTTTGTTTTAATTTGATTTTATTTTCTATGTTTAATTGTTTTGTATATTTTATCCATGAGTAAGTTGAGATTAGTTATATAAATTTTCACGTATGTTAAAATGTTTGTTTAAATTTCAGGAAAAATATTGACTAAAGTTGAAACTGAATTCAGTGAAGATGAAGAAGCTTTGATAATCAGTATGTACAATTTGCTTGGCAAGAGGTTTCTTAACTTCTTCATAAATTCAATAATACAATAGGCATGACAAATCATACAAGCATATATATATATATATATATATACTCGAGTAATAACTCAACATCAAAAATAAAATAATCAAAATACTCCTTAATCCCTCTCATAATATATATTTTTTTTAACCTAAGTTGAATTATTTAATTATTCCCATGGATTTAACCAACACTCCTCAGGTTTTTTTGGAAATCTTTCAGTATCTTGACAATAATCATAAATGACAAGATTTCTTTGTACCCAAGCATAATCCAATTTTTGATCACTTGATAAATGCCATGAATCATATTGATCCCACCAATTTTGTGTTGTTGTTGAAACACAAGATGGATATGGATCTTCCCATTGACAACCATCCACACTAAAATCTTTGTATGATGAAACAAATGGTTGATTTTTCCAATTTGTTTTCTCTAAACCACCTCTTGTAGCCCAATCATCTGCATTCCATATACTTGAAAATAAGTACATTGGCTTCTCATTTGGGAAGAAATTGTTTGTGTAATTCGCGTTTTTGTACACTCTTATTGGTACCTTATCCACGAAAAACCTGTACATGTTTGACAACATTTTTGACGCAAACTCTTATTAAACGTGAAAGAATCTCGTTCGTTCATCGTAATTTAATATAATGAAAATTAATAGGTACTTACACAATTTGGTGAGTATTCCAAAGAACTGAGTAGGTGTGAAAATCCTCAGTGGGGTCAAACCATAAAACATGTCTCATCTCACGATTACCAGTTCCATTCTTGTACACATTTGTTTGAATAAGATAAGGTTCACCTGTCCTATTCCCCAAGAACTCAAAATCTAATTCATCTCTTGTTGGTCCTGCTCCATCTTCTGTGCACATCTACAATTCATTCAAAAATCCATATAGTTTAACAATAATAATATACTCAGTATAAGTACAATCTGGAGATCAAAAAGTGTGTACGCATACTTTTTCCTACCTTGTGCAGGTAGATAGACTGCCTATGATAACATACTTAATGTAATCTTGCAAATAGAATATGGAAAAAGTGATGTGTACGTAGATTTTTACCCCTACTTATAAAGATAGAAAGACTGTTAAAAATTCCATTAAACATATTACAATATGACTAATCGCACAAGTAAAATCAAAAAATTATTTACATTATGTGTTGGATTGCTAGAGTTGATACATGTTCAAAGTTGTTTATAAAATGTGAGATTAGTAATCTAGAAAACAAAGTAATTTAGTAATTACTATAGTAATGTAAAAATTCTTTTTTTAGAGGGATGTCGAAGCAATTAAAAAAGTAATTTCTGAGTGACTAATAAGTCATGAAATTTGAGCATTGAAAATCAATCACTAATATTTGCTTTGAAATAAATTATACGCATTACACTTTTAAAATTATATCTGAACGTGAAATATTTTATACATCGATCTATCATTTTTAATATTATGTATGAAAAAAATTGCAACTTACATAGTAAGCTGTCACAACACCAGCAGAGTCACCTCCCACCAATTTCAACTTCATGCTAAACCACCCAAATCTATATTTCTGTTTGGTCATAAATCCACATCCTACATAAAAAAAAAATTAAAAAATCAACCAATATTTGCAAAAATAAGTAAAATAAAAGATGCAAATGTCAATTGGTATATATTAAAAATAGAACATTAAATTCTTGAATTTTAATCACCACTATAAGGATGCGATTAATTGAACACCTTTCTCATAACATAACGAGTCAAATGTAAAAAAAACAATGAAAATTTGTATATATTGAAAAAAACATTGAATTCTTGAATTTCAATCACCCAAATAAAGAGAAACTCAACAATGTTACGTAGATCGAAAGGTGATCAGTTGAACATTTTTCGTCAAAACATAAAAGATTCAAATTTTTTAATTTTTTTATTTATCAAAGTAGTATTAAAAAAAACACTAAATTATTGAATTATAATTACCTGCTTTTTTGTCCAATGATAAATACCAGATCTGTCCATCTTCAGAAGTCTTGAAATGAGTTTCTGGACAACTTTTACTAAAATTGTCATCAAATGAACCTTGTACTTCAGCTTGTGTTGATGAAAAAAGTACAACAATTATTGCACTAAGTACAAGAAAATAAGCTATAGGAGAAGCCATTTTCTCCCCAAAATTTTAAAAAAAATAAATGGAATTAAAAACGTCACAAGAGGAACTTGAGAAGTGAAGCTTCTTAATAAGTTTGAATCCTTTTAGAGAAGAAATATAAATAAATAAAATAAAATAAAGGAAGTACAGATCATTGATCACTAGTTTTGGTCATGTCAAGGGCAAAAATGGAAATGAATTTTTTTTTTCCATGTTTGTTGCTTTTGTATTGTTTCTAGTGTTTATACTACTTTAACCTTAGTATATAAATAAAAAAATAAAAAAAATCCTCTCCTTTTAGTAGGAGACATTGAAGTTTGTCCAAAAAGTTATGTTCACCTATTTTGAGAATAATAGTTTTTTCAATAATATATTTGATTTAATTTTATAAATAGAATTTAAAAAAAGATAAAATATACATAATTTTATCATTAAAAAGATTATTTATCATAAATCCTAAATTAAGTAAAACATATCAAATCAGATATATAAATAATGAAACAAGAAGTAGTGGCGACAACAAACAATTTGATAACCAAAGCAAAGGGCACGAAAGAAAAATTAAAATGACGTTCAACTACGGAAAAAACTTGTTTTCATACAGTATTTAGCCAATATAAAATATATTATTACGTGATTTAATGAAGATGTCTCAAAAAACACGTTACACATAGCTGTTCTGTTTTACAAAAGTTAATAGTTCATTATAAAGAGGCAAATATAAGTTTAAATTTTTAGAAGGGCAATTTAGGGATTTATCCCACGATTACATATAATCCAAACGACCGACAAGCTGGAGAAAGCAATTGACAGAAAGATGAGTGAGGTGGAAATGACCATAATGCCCCCATGAACTTCACTGAATTTTTGTTAAAGAAAAATGTGAGTGGGGTCTAATATGCCTGCATATGTGAACATGACTCTATTTGATTTGTCTTATAAATAATAGAAAAAACTAGTTAAATTTGACAACTGGATTTTGCTCTTTTGATTGGTCCTCTATAATACACTAATTGATTTGTTTGTTGCTCCAATAATAACAATACAACCCTTTTGCTCTAACCGAAGATCGATATTCGTTTTGAAATTTGATTTATCTCATACTTATGTTATCAAAATGTTTCTTTCGAAACTTATAAAAAATAATTCAGTTTCAGGATTCAAATGTGAAATTTATAATTAAAAATAAAACTATTTATTGTCTCATTATAATTTTTAGTGTAAATAACGAATACAAATTACAGTTAAATTAAGTTTTTTCGAAAATATAAAAAGAAGTCGGAGCGAAATGAGTCATTTATCATTACTATAGGTGTTTAGTGGAGGTGTAGTAATGTGTTGCTTAAAATCTTCTTAATTTTGAAAAGTGTTTCTTATTAGAAGAAGTAAATCTGGTAAACAACATTTTGTGTTTAGTTAATCAATTTAAAAAACAAAAATACTTTTGAAAATATTGAAATAGTAGTACATTAATACTTTTTGCTTGGTCAATGTTCTAAAATTGATTCGGAAAAAAACTCTTTTTTTTAATTTCTGGAAAAAAAACAATTTCTAATACGATTCAACTCATATTTCTCTAAAAGCTTGACCAAATAACTCAAAAAATATTTTTTTTCAAAAAGAAACTTTTAATTTTTTAAAAAATTTGACTAAACAGACTATCGATCTCAAACTAATTAAACTCTAACTAAATGAAATTTCTTAATTCATTTGCTCCATACATAATCAAAGTCACTAGTGGAAAACCAAAAAAATAATATTTGACCCCACAATTTATTTTAGTTTTTAGTAAAAGGAAAAAAAAACACAAGTGGAACAAGTATTGGGGCCAGTAAGATAAATTAAGCGGGATATTTATATTAATCATTTGACTTTACTGCTTTGGATCTCTATAATTACAGAACAAACTTACTTTTAAGTTTTTTAAATCTTTTATTTTATCATTAAAAGCAGAGAAATTTTATAATTTTTGGTTGCTAGGAATAAAGATGACCGACATGCTCATGCTTCCATTAACTCTATGTTACAACAACCTGTGTTTTTCGCTGATTCAAAATTTAAATTTTACGAATTTATGTTATGTTTGAAATTTTATCGTAAACGTATTTGATTTGTTGAATTGAGAATAATTTTTTAACATATTAATGAGATTTGAACTTAAAGTTAATAAGTTCAGATGAATCAGTACTCATGTTATTTTAGTGTATACATTTTCATTTAATTATGATTAATTAGTGTATATTTTTCTCTAGATTTTATTACTTAATATATAATTCGTGTATATATAAAGTTAATATTAATTTTGATGTACATATATAATAAAGGCTTAACCCTTTTTAAAAAATAAAAAAATTGTGCGTTTACATTTTTATATTTAATTTTTTTTTATAAAAATTTTGATTCCGCTACTGATACACAATATAAAGACATAAAAATGAATCATTCCTATGCAAATGCCCCCATGTGAGGTTCAACAGTTGTACAGTTTTGAGACAGTAATGCATTGTCTGGGAAAACATATGCACTTACTATTTCTTAGATGTAAATTGCTTAGCCACTTTTATATTTTGATAACAATTGATTATGATAATTAAGTTACTGGCATTGACTAAAGAATTGCCAAGTTATGTGAATTAAGTTGAGTTATTACTTTATTTTGTTACTTTGACTTTTCTTTTTTCCCAACTTTATTATTTGAGTTGCCTATAGTTGCGATTTTTTAGTTTATAATTAGATGTTTTGTGTTTGAATTTTTAGAAGTAGAAAAGAACTTATAAAAAATGTTCACTCTATAAATAATCTACTGCTTGCAAATTTGAATTTAATCGAACATCAGTATAAATACTAGGCACTAGCTGAGGAAACAAAAAATAAAAGAGCATTAAAAACTGTGGTGGATTAATTTAGAACTTTTTGGAACTTGAGTTAATATTGATAAGAATAAAAAATATAAATATGTGACAGTTTGGCCGAGTGGTCTAAGGCGCCAGATTTAGGCTCTGGTCCGAAAGGGCGTGGGTTCAAATCCCACAGCTGTCAATTTTTTTACACAAAATGTTGCGTGCGTTAATTTTCAAATCAACAAGACACTCGAAATTTTTAAACTTTAAATTCACTTCAGTAATGATTTACGTAAAATAGCGATCAATTTTACTTCATCCATGGATCATTTGGGCTTTGTTAGCTTTTGTGATCTCTACATCAGAATTGGGCTTCTTAGCCTTTTTTGGTGGATGATACCTATAACAATTCAAAAGCAGTATGAAATTGAGTTAACTTAAGTAGGTAACATTAAGAAATAATATTCAGAAAACGTATACTTTTGTATATAAATATATACATATTTTTATATATAATTAGTCTATATTTTTGTATATTTGATTAATGAATATAATTATTTTTAGCCAAGCGGCTCACTATGTTAGGCCAACTACTATAGATTAGATTAGGTGATTTGCACATAAGCGATATTTTTAAGATTGTTTACGTCTAAATTAAGGACTTAGAATAACAATTTATATCTAAATTGAAGTATAAGAGCACAATCGGTCGCATACACGCTCCCGACCTCGCCAAAAATTTTGGTTTTAGATGAGTCTACAACGTTGTTTCGAATCTCCAAAGAACCAAAAAAAAAACTTGTCGAGTATGACCTAGGGCTATGCATGATGTTCTCCTCGTTGAATCAAATCAAATTAGACTTTTACTATCACACCTTCCCTTTTGATACGTCAAAATATCAAACATGATTTTCGATCCATATAAGATATATATTAATATTCTATTACCGTTTTGATATTTTTACGAAATCGACTATGTAGTATTTGTCACTATTGATCCATCTAATTCAAATTTGTGTCGCGTAAGATTTATAATGATCAAATGATACATTTGATTATACGAATATATATATTTTTTTAATTGTGATTGACCGCACACACGCTCCCAACCTCGCCATTTTGGAGCTAGACGAGCCTACAACGTTATTTCAAATTTCCTAAGGACAAAAAAAAAAAACTTATCGGGTATGTCCCATGCTATGCCTAATGTTCTCCACGCTGAATTGAATCTAACTAAACTTTGACTATCACACAGAGGCGAACACAAGATTTGAAAACTTTTGGTGCACCCATATAAACATAATTATATATGTGGTCTAAGTTAAACTTAAAATAAAAACAATAAAAAGAGGCTTAAAGTGGGATCTGAATCTAGTCTAGAGGGTGATATTTCTAGCTTCTACCAATTGCACAAGCACACTTTTATGTGTTCTATGGATACACTGTTAAGTATATTTTAATTTCTACCAATTTTTCAAAATAATAATATATATATATATATATATATATTACATATGTTTTTTTCAGAAATAAGCATGTGCACATTTTTTTTTTCTATTTACTCATGATTTGGCCTAGTCGAACCAATTATAATATTGAAGGAGGGGACCTTCTCTCGAAAAAGCATGCACTCCCTCCATATAGCATGGGTCTGCCCCTGCTATCACACATCACCTTCTGATACGTCAAAATAACAAACAGGAAGTTTGATTCATACCAAAATACATATTTAAAATTTACCGGTTCTGATACTTTAACGAAATCATCTATGAAATATTTGTCATATTTGACCTATCTAATTTAAATTTGTGCCGTGTAAGATATATTTGATTTAGTTTTTTCCTTTCCTGTGATGGTTTCAGGATCCACCCTCTTACGTGTCACCAATCTATTAGTTACCGTGACACCACAAACCATCCTAGTCAGATAGAGATCCGACCCGACCCGAAGTCCATCAGTGGACTCGAGTCTTCTCCCTTCTTACAAAAAATAAAAAATAAAATATCCCTTTTTCCTCTGCAACCAAATCTCCTAAATCTTCGCAGGCTACAATGGCGATCTCCAAAACCCTAACCCTTATCGCCATTCTCCTAGTCCTCGTACCCATCAACCACTCCTTTTCATCTTCCTCCCATGAGGACCTTCTACCGGAGCTAATCAACCTCCGATCTCAATCTCCCACCGGAGTTATCCATCTCTCCGATCATCTTCTCCGTCGAATCCTCTCGGCTAAATCCCCACGATCCTTTTCATTTCTCATCTTCTTTGACGCTAAACAACTCCATTCAAAACCCGAACTTTCACTACCTACTCTAAAAAATGAGTTCTCCCTTTTATCCTCCTC